GCTGGCAGGTGACACGGTAGTTAAGGATACTGGACTCCCACATGGCTGACTGCAGTTCAAGCACTGGGCCTGGTGGCTTGCTTTCTCACTTTCCCTCTATCGGGCACTCTGTCTCTCACTGGCCAAATTAAAATAAATAAATAAAATAAATAAAAACTTAAATAAAATAATTATTTTCAAAAAAATCAATAGAAAAATAATTCAAAACATGTCATTGTATTTGACAATCAGAATTTCATTTGTAATTTTAGTCAAAGCATAATTGGTGGAAAGGTGAGAGCTCAAAGCTATGGTGTAATAAGCCATAGCTTGAATGAAAGGTGAGAATGAAGAGACCATGAGGATACCTGATTCCCTCATGAATTTTTTAAAAATATTTTATTTAATTTTTATTTATTCATTCATTTATTTTAATTTGACTAGAGAGAGGCAGAGAGAGAGAAAGTGAGAAAGCAAGCCACTAGATCTGGGACTTGAACTGTGGTCAGCCATGTAGGAGTGTCCAGAGCCCTAACCACCATGCCACCTCTTGGTCCCCAGGAATTGTTTTTGAGAATTATTTTTTATTTAATTTTATTCATCATCATTATTTTATTAATTTTTTTTACTCTTTTGAAGTTGACCAGAGAGAGTCAGAGAGAGAGAAGGAAAGTAAGAAAGCAAGCTGCTAGGTCTGGGACTCAAACCATGGTCAGCCATGTGGGAGTCCACCTACCTTAACCACCATGCCACCTGCCGGCCACCCCCCTCAAGAATTTTGACATAGAGAGGAAGGAGAGAAAGAATACAGGTGAGACGGGGATGGGGAAGTGGAAATGAGCTATTTTCCTTTTAAAATAGAAGAAGCAAACATGGCTTTGGGTAAAAAGAAAGGACCAGTGGAAAGAGAAAGGACAGGGAGACACAATAATCTAAGGGAAATAAGTCCTAGAGAATTCAGAGTAGGAGAAAATAAAAAACTGAACTTGAGTGATTGGCTTTATACATGACCAGGTAAATCTTTTCTCCTCAAAGAATGGGGAGGGGAGGGACCAGCAGTTGGAGTAATGCGTATGTCACTGGATTCCCATGTAGTCAACCACAGTTCAAGTCCCAGACCCAGTAGCTTAAACTCATGCCAAGCACGTGCGCTTGTGTCAAGATCCTGAGAGGATTGCAGCATGGTCATCCTCCCTGGGGGGTGTGGGGGGGTGATTTCTCCCTTTCTGTCTCTGTCTCTCTCTGTCTTTCTGGCAAGTGCATGTGCCCTATAGCAAAAACCTCTCAAAAAAAAGAAAAAGAATGGGGAGGAAATATAAAATATGATGTAAGGAGGTATTTTTGTTAATATTAAACAAATATAGAACATTATTATATACTGAATATCAATATCTGCACCTAGTATAATGTATATTACCAAAGTGTGCTTTTTGACAAGAGATTCTCAGGTGCTTTAAATCATATTCACTTAAAACTGTCTTACTTTTATTTAAAAATGTTTATTTCTTTTTATGTTATAATATTTTATTTACATTTAATTCTTGAAAAATATCTTCCCTTTCTTCTTTCTTTCTTTCAAAGTGGGGGAGAAGATGGGGCATAGAGGCCAAAGTGCCAGGAAGTTGAAGAGACTCCTTTTCCATAGCTTGCTTTCTCTGTGACGTGGAAAGTAATGCTAACTACTGATAATCTGAATTGGGGGCACAAGGAGGCAAACTATTCAAGTAAAGCAGTACATTTCGAAATAGCTGCTGTGAGAAAAAAGAAAGGAAATTTATATCAACCCCAAAGTGTGAACGCATATTTTTCTTGTTCTCATTCTGATTGTTAAGTGTTAAAAAGTCCTTCAATTAAAAAAAATAATCCTGGGGCCAGCAGGTGGTGTGGTGGTTAATGTGCTGGACTCTCACATGGCTGACAGCAGTTCAAGTCCCAGACCTGGCTGCTTGCTTTCTCTTTCTCTCTCTCTCTGTCTCTCTCTGGTGAAGACACATGCCCTGCAGCAAATTAAATAATAATCATAATGATAAATAAAATTTTAAAATAGTTTTTAAAAAAATACCAATACAAGATTGAGAAAGATAGCAATTCTTAGATAAAGAAACCTAATGTTGGGGCCAGCAGTTAGCGTAATGGCTGTGTCGCTGGACTCCCATGTAGTCGACGTGGTTCAAGTCCCAGACCTGGTGGCTTAAACTCACGCCGGGCGTGTGTGCGTGCATGCCCAAGGTCCTGAGAGGAGAATGGAGGAGAAGGGACTGTGGCATTGCCATCCCCCCTGGGGGGATGATTTCTTGCTTTCTGTCTCTCTGTTTCTGTCTGTCTGGCGAGCACACACACCCTATAGCAAAAACCTCTCCAAAAAAAAAAAAAAGAAACCTAATGTCAAAACATATACGAAACAATCTCTTTCTACCCTAAGAATCAGATAAATATGAATTCAAACAATGAAATACCATGTTATACTCCATTCCATAAGGAAAAGGAAATCACTTGTGATTGAGGATGTGGTTAAACTAAAATATTCTCACCCTGCCAGTGATAATTTAGATTGACTTCACTACTTCGGAGAGTATGTTGGCAATTTCTTGAAAGGCTGAAGAGGGATATATCACAAGGATCTTTTTCCTTCCTTGGGACAGGATTCTATGTCTCCACAAAAGCCAGGTGACTGGCTTCCCTGGTCTGTAGGGGAAGTACATTCTCAGCCTCATTGTCTCGGACGTGGTCATGTGACTTGGTTAGGCCAATTGAACCTAAGTGGACATGAGTACTCCTTGTATGAACACAAACTTTGAGAAGCATTGCAAGTTTTTTTTTTCTTTTCTTTTTTTTTTTTTAAGAGGTTTTTGCTATAGGGCGTGTGTGCTCGCCAGATAGAGAGAGACAGAGAGACAGAAAGCGAGAAATCACCCCCCAGGGGAGATGGCTATGCCGCAATCCCTTCTCCTCCATTCTCCTCTCGGGATCTTGGGCACGCACTCACACGTGCCTGGTGTGAGTTTTAAACCACCGGGTCCAGGACGCGAACCATGGTCGACTACGTGGGAGTCCAGTGACATAGCCATTACACTAACTGCTGGTCCCAAGAAGCATTGCAAGTTTTTGTCAGCCTTTCTGCTCATGTTTCCTGTCATAAGAAGGAGCTGTTTCCGTCCAAACTGCAATAATCTGAATAAAAAAATGTTTTAGAACTTCTGAAGTGATGTCATAGTTGAAGACTTTTGCGATGAAGGATTCTTTTTTTCCATGTAAGGAAGACGAAAACACATGTTAATGCATCATATAAATATGTTTATTATCTAAATGTTCATAAATTATAAGATTTAACTATAAATGAAAACATTTCTGGAAAATGTTACACATTTTGTATTAATGTTTGTAACTGGTTTAAGGCACACAGTGCAACATACTTCTTTTCTGATACAGAGATCCCCAAATATTCGTTTAACCACATCGACACACAACTGCTTTAGTACCTTATATGGTACAATATAGCCTAATAAATGGGAAGAATAAAACACTTTGTGGGTAAAACTAGTATACTACTGTTTCCTGACAAACATCTATTAGATTCCAGTTTTTGGTTTACAGAATAGGTTACCACAGAAAATTATTATTAGTCTACCTATCTTTCAAAAATCACATTACCATACAATGGAAAAATGAATTAGCTAAATGAAAAAAAATTTTCTTAATTCCTGAGAATTTGCCCATGAGTTGTTAATATTTATACTGCCATGTTCTGGCTTTGAGAAATCTACAATATAAAGTAACTTGATATTTTTAATAAAAGTTTTGTTATGTAAACATAACTTTATGTTTACTAAAATAGAATCTTCAAAATTTCAAGAATTAACAGTATTTGATTAATAAAATACAGTACATAATTTTGAGAAAATACATTTTTTAAAAATGGACATATACACATAAGAGTTACAAATGCATAATAGAATATAAACATTATACAAAAATGTATTGCTCTTATAAGTACAATCAAATTAGAGGTAGGTTTTAAAAATAAAATTCCAATGTATCATCTGTATTATACCCACAAACTTTAATATTTAATAAACATGGATTTTTAATAAAATATTTGTACCACAGTTTTAGGACTATTTTTTTTTCACTGAAGCACCATAATCCACAATTAAAATGAAAGGAAACATAAAATTAAAATTAGGTATCTAAACTGTATCAGTAGAAAGTATACGGCTATGTACTTTTTTTTTTTTTTTTTTTTGAAGAGGGGTTTTTGCTGTAGAGGGTGTGCACTCACTGGAAAGACAGAGAGAGACAGAAAGCAAGAAATCACCTTCTGGAGGGATGGGTACGTTGCAATTTCTTCTCCTCCATTCTCTTCTTGGGATCCTGGGCATGCACACATTTGTGCCTGGTGTGAGTTTAAGCCACCAGGTCCAGGACTCAAACTGCAGTCAACTATGTGGGACTCTGTTGACGTAACCATTATGCCATCTGCTGGTCCCGCTGTGTACTTTCTCGACGTAACAATTTGCTGTTCTCCTGAGATTCAATTATGTTTATAGTAGTTCTGAGTAAGTTTGTTTTCCTAATTTTTAGGTTATCCATTTGAACAAGTAGAAGAATCCATTCATTGTACAGTAGTTTTCTAAGTAGAGATGCAGAGACTTACATGTGTGTTTCCTGGTATAATACAACGTGGTCCAGTCCAAGCTGTTAACAGTAACATTGTCTTAATTTATTCAAACATTCTAGTATTCCCTATCAAAAATTATTATGTTCTTATTTATTTACTTAAATTTACGTTTTTCCCATAGGGTGCGTGCACTCACCAGAGAGAGACAGACAGAAAGAGAAAAAGTGAGAAATCACTCCCTGCCCCAGGGGGGATATCTACACTGAAATCCCTTTTCCTCCATTCTCCTCTCAGGATTTGGGGCATGCACACACAAGCACCCAATGTGATTTTCCAGTCACTGGGTCCAGGGCTTGAACTACAGCTGTTCATGTGGGACTCCAGCACTTTAACCAACATGCTACCCTTGGCCCCAATTTTGTTCTTTTTAAAGATTCTGATTAGAATCACATATATCTGTTAAGTTTATTTTGAAGTCCTTGTAAAGAATAAGCAATGATTTGAATCCCTGGTGAGCACTCTGAAAAAAAAGGCAGAGACATTGTGGACACAGACATTTCAGGAAGTGAGTAAAGACATGAGCACCAGTTCTTTGCACGTCCCAGGCAGTATCTCTTTGGGGTGTATTTCCCTCTTCCGAATATTCATATTACTTGAACTGGAAGGCCAGTAGTCATGTGAGGAATACACTTTCCACAAAACCCTCCACACCTGCCATAGACTTTGGTTCCATCCTGAAATGGGAAGACACAGAAACACAGGAGAATCTTACATATGCTGGCATCCATGTGCATAAAGCAGAACAAAAAAATGCTCTGAACCATGTAGCTAAACTCATTCGCCACCGTTTCTTGTAACAATTGTATTTCAGGTCGAAGACCATACTGTTCAATAGTAGTTGAAATTGGTCATTAAGATGGTGTCAAAAAAGGAAATGGGTAACCTGAGAGTCAGATTAGCTACTTACTGAGTATAAACTACACTCGGATTAGACAATTCATCTCAATCCACATAGTTTTCATCAAGATAGCTTTTTGTTTCTATGAATCTATTAAAATCTCTCCCAATTTGCTACTATTTACATAATTTTATATAAGATTCTCTTAGGCTAAATAAAGATATTTTCTGCCCCATTGATCTAAAGTATCTCATGGATGCCTTAGAAACACACACTGGAGAAAGGTATAGAAGGTAGTAAAATGAAAAATAAGAAAATAATAACTGGGCTAATTTAGTTGTGTATATTATTACTATATAATAACATGTTTTTTTAAAAAAAAAGAACAGACTAACGAATGTTTTTCTGTGGTAACCTATTCTGTAAACAAAATCAAAATGAAATCTAATCAATTTTTGCCTGTTAGTAATATACTAGTTTTTTCTCACAAAATGCTTTCATCCCCCCATTTATTAGGTTGCATCATACCTATAAGCTACTAAAGCAGTTGAGTGCCAATGTAGTTAAATGAACTTTTGGGGAACCTCTGTATCAAAAAACAAGTATGTTGTGCTATGTGCCTTAAACCAGTTATAATCACTAATACAAAATGTGTAGTAGTTACAAAAAACTTAAAAAGTAGTCATTGTATGTAGAGAAAAACTTGAAAAAGGAGATTTTTCCTGAAGCAGAGCTCTCTGAGGAACTTCAGAAGTGGATTGAAGGAGGGAGGTCAGGAAATGACATGCCTTAGACTGAATTTCATCTTTAGGTCTCAAAGTCAAAAGACTGAAGACGTTTTGATACAATGAGACAAGGAGGGGGAGAAAAAGGTTGGACTCCTGTTGTTTTGGAGAAGGCAAGATACTTGTTTTCATCTAGGTAGCAAGGGTAGAAAGAGATTTTCCATCTATTTTGAGGTAGAAGAATATTTGAGACCACAGTTTTTTAATGCTTTTTCTTTCATAACTCCACAGAATCTGAGTAAACAGAGAATGGCAGTAAAAACTCAATTTTGTATACTTCTCATTCCCAAACAGATTGTTGAAGTGAAAACTCAATCTTGACTAAACTTACTGACAAATGAAAGTAAGTTTGTGTTTTTATAAGTATATTCGGGTTTCACAAGTCTTACTTTTATATCAGACACAAAATTTAAAGAAATATTGTCATATGTCACATTTTTTTGAAAGGTTTTTGCTATAGGGCATGTGCACTCGCCAGACAGAGAGAGAGAGAGAGACACAAAGACAGCAAGCGAGAAATCACCCCCCCGGGGGGATGGCCACGCCGCAGTCCCTTCTCCTCCATTCTCCTCTAGGGATCTTGGGCACACACGTATAAGTGCCGGGCGTGACTTTTAAGCAACCGGGTCCGGGACTTGAACCGTGGTCGACTACGTGGGAGTCCAGCAACATAGCCATTATGCTAACTGTTGGTCCCATATGTCACATTTTTTATCAAGGTAGAACTTCTCAGTGAATTAAATAAATTATTAAACTTTAGAATAAAACTTAAGTAAAAGCAAAATGAATCCTTTTACTAAATAGTCATAGCTACTGATGACCTTTGCCAGAATTCAGTCTTTATGTTTAACCCAAAGCTATCTAAAAGCTGGATACATAGGTTAGAATAGTCTATCCTTGTATCTGTTCAGAATATACCTTAAAAAAGTAATACACATATTCTCATTCTTCTGTCAAAAGGGATTAGACCTAAATATACTAAATAAATAGCTACATTTTGAAGGCCCAGTAGTTAATCCATACAAAGATATAATAAAAATTAAAATTATTAATGAAAGCACAGTTTCATAGTCTTCATAAACAGAATGTTTAAAGGCTATGAATATTATAATATTGATGCTTATTTGCAAATTGTGTCCATGTAAACACTTCTAGGAGTATAACAAAAGTCATTTTATCGAAAGAAAAAAGTCACAAAGCATGAGAGTGGAAAGGGGCTGTTCTTGGTGTTGATTCATGGGCATGACAGGTGAGAGAGAACACATGGAACCTAGATCCAGCGATACCCTGCATAGAGGCCACTACCTAAGGCACCATAACTCTTATGTACGAGAAGGCGTTCCATAAAGTGTATATGATAGTGTAACATTCCAGCAAGGAAATTAAATGGATTCTACTTTGAGTAATACATGTGTTATACTTAAAATATAAACAAACTAGCTATATGTATATAAATACTATATGATAAACTGTATTGATATGCAGAAGTAATATTATTTAAATAAAGATAGAGGAAAATAAGAAACAAAACATAATTAAATAATCCTAATTTTTGAAAAAGCCATGAAAGATATTTGTTAAATAGCAAAGTACTCCAACACCACCCCTATTACTAAATCAAGGTGCTAAAGTAATTTAACCCAAAAATTTAATCTCTGCCTTGAAATATTAAACTCTACAAGCCTTTAATAATTAAAAGATAGCTAAAACCACCACCTGTTCTCAAAGACCTACATTTCAAGTCATTAGCCCTAAGTTTGAGCTAGATAAAACATATAAACCCTGGCATTTGATATTTTATGTTCAGATATCTATAGCCCATGTAAGGATTTGTATGTGTATAAAACTATATATACACATTAATAAAAATGAACCAAATTTTATATCCTAAATTGTTGTAACCCAGTATACAATGGGTCTTCAAAGAGTTCATGGAAAACATGTATTATGAAAAAAAAAAAAAAAAAAAAAAAAAAAAAAAAAAAACTACACACAATCTTCTATTTTTTCCCACCAACATAAGTTACTACTTTAATCCCATTTTGCCACAGACTGTTGGACATCCCCTTATATGTAATATACCCATTATGTGGAATGACTCTTTAGTCATCCACATCACATAACCAAGTGTAAGGTAGAGGAGCTCTCTCGCTTGTTCACAGCACAGAATGTGTCAGGTGGGCTTTCGGTCCAGCAGGACTTACTTGTGATCTGTGTATGATGACAGAGGCATAACTCCCCTGAGCAAGCCACTTTGCTGTGCTAGAGATCTTCATCCCCGTTCCTGCCAAATTAATGCTGAACTGCCCCTGGATGGTAAATAAAACAAAACAAAAATAGATGGGACTCATAAAATATACAAGAGTGCTCTTAACGGAAAACATCTTGATGGAACTTATAGAAGGAAGGACTCCAATTACTTTTCAAGAATCTTCCTTTATCGAATGAAAGAATGTTGACATCAGCTTGTGTTAAAAAAAGAAAAATGAACATTAATATTTTGAGAACTTCATTACAGATAAATCTTCTCAATTACAAATAAAAACTGAATTAATACCACATATTTTTTTCATGCAGAAGTAATTCTATCTGATTTTAGAACTCTGCAACTGGACGACTAGAGTTAATGGTCTTGGAGCAGTTGGAAAGTCCTGACAGAAAAGGTATCTACAGTGAATAACATTCACCACACTTCACCATTTCTCCAGTTTCAAGTTTTAACCCTTCATTGTTCACTTTTGTGATGCTATGCCTCGTCAATGTATTTCTTAGAAACTTCTATCGCACATTCTCCTTTTTGGTAAGAATATAACTTCCTTATCTTTTACTCACAACCGCTGGGTGTAGTACTATTGTCCTGGCTATTATATCCTTACAAAGTACTCAGAAGGGTATATGGATACATATGCTACATGCTTTACACACAATATATTGTGTGGGCCCCCTTGTGGCTTTATGAACTAATTCTTTCAAGTACAAGAACTATTTTTATATCAAAATAACTTTGTTCAGAGTTAAATTTCAAATACCTGTGAATTGAGAAAATGGGTAACTAAAATGTGTAAAATTTGTTTTATATTGATATGATTTTACAGCATGTATTTATACACTGAAAAGCAGGAGTACATGCTAATTCAGCCTACCAACAATGTTCAGTATGCATATGGACTAAGAGTAACATTAAGGCCTTTAGATCACATTATAATATCCCAATGGACTAAGAGTCAAGAATCTTGACCAAGACTGTGATGACACCCTAGGGTTTATGAAAGAAAATATTATCTCGTTTGAAAGCAAAGCCTAAATAAACTTTAAATATATTTATAATATGAATTTTTGCTATTGTCAAAAACAGATATCAATTTTATTTAATGTTCATTTCTTAACCACCTTATATGCATATTATTTAAAAACAAAATTAGGATTCAAATGCATTCTTAATGCAATGACAAAAAAATGGAGAATTTTTATAACAGAGATAATTAATTTTAGATAAATCCTAAAGATGTATTAAGTATATCACTTGCTTATAATTTTAGGAAACAACCTGCATGATAGCTTCATTACTATGTTTCAAGGGCCCAGAATAGGACCTAGGTACTCAGTAAGTGTTTTTGAATTAACAAATTAAGTATAGCGTTATAAATGTTTAATGGTAGCATTATTAAAGTAAATCCATAAGCCTTCTGACCCCAAGATGATGAATGACACTAACACTAGACACAGTCGTATTTTATGTTGGTAAATATTTGAATGTGAAAAAAATCCTTCTTAGGGTACACTATTTAATGTTAGGTCAATCTGACACAGGTTGGATACTTTTTCCCATATTTCCTCACAGAAAACCCTCTCACCAAAAACAATTCCTTAAAAATGGAAATACATTCTGTGAAGTAGTTTTTTGTTGTTGA